AGGTGACAGACTACAGATCCCTGGAGGGAGAAGCGAACAGGATACCGGAGTGGTGAGGGAGCTGGAAGAGAGCCCTGCCCGGGGCCCCATCGGCACCCCTCCCTCTCCCCTCAGTCTTGGCCAGGAGGCGGGCCCCCGCTGGGGGAGGGGCCAGCTATCCCGGAGCTGGAATGAGGATCCTGAAGGAGGGGGCACCCCACCCCAAACAGGCCGCCCCCCTCACCTGGGCCCCAGCCACCCAGGGTCGCAGCGCTGACAGTGCCCAGTGTCCGCCTGACAGGCCTCTCCCAGCCGGCAGCGGGGACACTGCTGCCGGCAGCTCTCGCCAAAGGTGCCAGATGGGCAGGGCTGGTGGCACTGGGTCCCGTTCCAGCCCGGCTCGCAGGACTCACAGCTGCCTGTGTCTGCAGAGCATGGCTTGTTCTGCTTGCAGTGGCCACAGCTGGGAAGAGAAGGAGCCACGGGTGAGGAGCCCACGGATGGAATGTCTGCCCGGGCCTCCAGGGACACCAGAGAGCATCCAGGACACTCAGGAAGGTTTGAGCCCGTTTCCCCATGTTGTATAGCAAAAAGGCTGGACAGATGACCTCTGTAGGATTCATTCCCACCCTCTCCTTCCAACTTCCCATTTCAGGGCCCGTCCTTCCCAGGGCCCCAGGGTCGGCCCAGGCAAAGTGGCCAAGTTACCTTGGCCAACCTCCTCCCTCCTATCCTTTCTCCTCTCTCCCTCCTACCCACACCTTCTCTGAGGTCTGGCATCAATGTGACTCAGTGTGTCTTCTATCCTGTAACATGAGGATCCATAAAAATTTAAAATGTATGTTTTCATCACTATAATTTCAAGTTTATCCTATGTTTAAAAAAAAAAAAAAAAAGGCTGGGGCACCTGGGTGGTTCAGGTGGTTAAGCCTCGGACTCTTGATCTCGGCTCAGGCCACAATCTCGCGGTTTGTGAGTTTGAGTCCCGCTCTGGGCTTATAGTGTGGAGCCTACTGGGGAAGCTCTCTCCCCTCTCTCTCTGCCCCTATTCCTCTCTCTCTCAATAAATATGCTTTTAAAAAATGTATTAAGAAATGCTTTCCCCAGTTTTTTTTGAAATATGACTGACAGTATGCAACTTTAAAGTGTACAGCATGATGACTCGGCTTACATATATTGTGAAATGATTACCACGGTAGGTTTAGTTAATATCCCTCACCTCATATAGGTACAAAAAAAAAAAAAAAAAGGAAAACGATGGCTTTTTCCTTTGGGATGCAAACTCTTAGCATCTACTCTCTTAGCAACTTTTCCAACAAGGTTTACCTTAATTTCTCATTGATTGTTAACAGTTTCTTGACAAGTTTCCCTCCAGATAATTATCTGGAGTCATATGCTTGGATCAGATTCATTTTTTCATAAAATCAACTTAGCAGACCAGCATCAAAAAAAGAAAAAAAACAGAAAATAGAAAACATATGTGTATATATACTGTATATATACACGTAATACATATTATATACCTGAAGCAAAGATAATATATGTTGTCTAGTTAAGCTTTTACCACAGAGATGCGTGAATAAGATAGGTGGGATGTAAAACGCATTTCTTTCCGTCGTTGTTTTGTTTGGTTTTATTTGTTTTTTAAGCAAGCACCATGCGCAGCGCCCAACATGGGGCTTGAACTCACAAGCCCCAGATCAAGAGTCAAATACTCTACCTATGAGCCAGCCAGGGACTCCGAGAAGGCATTTCTTGTTATGGGTGGAGTCGGCCAAAGTTTGAAAGCCACCAGGTCTAAAAGGGACCCTACAATCATTCCGTCACGTAGTTCATCTTTTATCTGTTCCTAAGTATAGCTCGCTAGTACTCCTATTGTTCGTTTAACGGTAACCAGACGCAGGGTGGGCGAGGCTGGACCTAGGAGCATCGGGGGTCTTTCTCCCCCTTTCATCCCGTCCTTGGATGCTTTCTCGGAGGGCACCGCGCGACGCTGTCCCCTCGCCCCGGCCTCTGCCGGGCCCATCCCCTTTCTCTCGGGTTCCCTCGGCTCCTTCTTCCGCCCGAACCGCCCCCCGCCCGCGGACTGCCCCCCCCGCACCCCCCCGCACCCGCCCCCCGGGGACTGCCCGCAGCCCCGCGCCCCCCCTCACCTGTCGCGGCAGTGCCGCCCATAGCTGCCGGCGGGGCAGGGCACCTCGCAGTGCGCGCCGCGGAAGCCGGCGGGGCAGGAGCACAGGCCGGAGCTGCCGCTGCAGTGGCCGCGCTCGCACTCGCACTCGTGCTGGCACTCGGGGCCCCACCTGCCGGGCCGGCAGAGGCAGCGGCCGGTCTCCTGCGTGCACGGCGAGCCGTGGCAGCCGCAGCGGAAGCTGCAGCGACGGCCCCACCAGCCCGACTCGCAGCGGCAGGAGCCGTCGGCTGGGTCGCAGCGCGCCACCGCCAGGTTGCACTGGCACGGACGGCGGCAAGTCGGTGACCACCAGCCAGGCTCGCAGCGGCACGCGCCCGTCGCGGCGTCGCAACGCCCGTGGGGGCCGCAGTTGCACTGGAACTCGCAACGGCTGCCCCAGCGGTCCGCTTGGCAGTGGCACACGCCCGTGGTCGGCTCGCACTGGCCGTGTGGGTGGCAGGCGCAGCTCTCACGGCAGTCGGGGCCCCAGTACTGAGTCGGGCAGCCTGCGGGGGGGGGGGGCGGGGAACGTAAAGGGGTCTGTGGGCTCGGGGCCAGAGACGGATCTCAGCTCCACGCCCCCTTCCGCAAGGGAGAGGGGCGCCAGACCCACCCTCCCAAGAGCCGGAGACAGACCCTTGAACATCTGGCCGCCTAACCTCCTGGGGCACAAATCACTTCCTGCCTCGGATTCACGAACTACAGAAACCCTTTGGAGTGGCCCAGCCTCCCACTTCATGCTCCAGAACACACTTAAAGCTCCTGAGTGGGAAAAGGTTTGCCCAGAGTCACACACAAGTAGGATTTCATTCATGCCCACCTCTCTCCCTCCACCTCCACCCCACCAGAGATGACACAGCATCTGAGTGTCCCCCGCCACACACACACCCCATCCCCTTGCACCTGAATGCTGACCGTGAGGGTCACAGGAGAGGCCACATTTCCCCCTAGTGTCTTCTCTCAGCCCTGATTCCTGATGGCTACTCTCTGGCCATCCTGGCCACCAAACCCTTAACCAAGCCTGTCTTTTCTACCCCGCAGGGCAGAGCCCCGCCAGGGACCTCCTTCCACCCTCCACGCAAGTGTAAAGTGCGTGTGCGGGACACTGAGAATGTGTCCACTTCGCAATCAACAGGGATAACCACCATCCCTTCTGAGAAGTTGTGGATGGTGAAGGGCCCAGAACTGAGGCTGTGGGTAGAGCTTTGTGGATACGGGTAAGAACCAGATGACTCAAGGCATCTTCCAAGAATGCGTCACTTCCTGACTCTGGGTCTCAATTTCCTCAGGGAAGCTTGGAGGGATTCTGGCCCCGCTGTTCTGAGATCACATTTCTACCTGCTTTGCCTCCCCGCTCCCCAGTTCTGCCTAGCAACTTCGTCCTCCAGATGAAACTCAGGACTCACGGGTGTTGCACTGGGCCCCAAAGAATCCAGGTTTGCATCGACAGAGGCCTGGTTTCACGCACACTTCGTCTTCCCGGCAGGCATCCAGCCCCTCACAGATGGCTGAAAAACACCCCACCCAGGTGGGAAGGACGGTGGCATGGCACAACCAGGGGACACTCTGCCCCTCTCACTGGCTCCCAGCGCCCTGCCATTCCCTCAGGGCCGGGGGCGGGGGCGGGTGGTGTCAGCGTGGACCCTGGCCCTAGGGCTCAGGAGGGGAACTAGGCCCCAGGAGGGGAGGGAGGAAGGGTCAGGGGGCTGTGTCCTCCTTTCTTCTCGGGTGGGGATCTGTTCTCACTACTCACGGACAGTGCATTCTTGATCTTTCTGCCTCCAGCCTGGGCAGCACTGGAGCTCCGCAGAGGGGCTGTGGGGCAGAGAGGGGTCAGCTGGGGGACAGGCTGGCTCCGCAGGTGGATCACTGTCTCTGGCTGAGATGTGCAAGGCTGCCTCAACCCCCTCAGGCAGGCCTAGCCGAGAGTCACAGCCCCAGTGTCCCCAGTCCCTTCCCTTTCCTTCCCTGGCCCTCCCACCTTCTGCCTTGACTCCCCCCCCCCCCCCCCCCCCCCCTCCCCAAGCCCCATGACCTCTTCCCTCATGTCCTCCTNTGTGCAAGGCTGCCTCAACCCCCTCAGGCAGGCCTAGCCGAGAGTCACAGCCCCAGTGTCCCCAGTCCCTTCCCTTTCCTTCCCTGGCCCTCCCAAGTTCAGACGTGTGCCCCCCCCCCCCCCCCGGCTGTCCCCAAGCCCCATGACCTCTTCCCTCATGTCCTCCTTGCCTGCAATGCTGCCATACCAGTTCAGGCACCACCCCACCCCACCCCGCATCAGATTCCTACCAAAACCCACCTGCTGGCCACGCAGACGTGCTGCCCACTGGGGTCCAGCTTGGCCCCCTGGGTCCCCTGGGTCCAGAGCAGCAACAGCGGGAGCAGCAGCCTCAGCCCCATGGCGGCCAGTCCAGCGGGAAGGCTTGGGTTAGTCTGGCCCCCACGGCTCCCAACCCCCTCCCTGCTTCCTTCCAAGGCCTTTCCTGAGGAAACCAGTGCCGAGGGGCGGGCTGCCATGAGGCACCTCCCTGAGAGGGCGGGCGGGTGCTGGGAAGCCGGGACACCAGAGAAAGGAAAAGCGAAGGCTGAGTGGAGGCTTGAGGGGCTGGTCTCAGTCTGGAGGGGGCAGGAAGCCGGAGCTGCAAATCCCAGAGCACTGGGGACAGGCGAGGGTGTGGGGTGTGAGTGGGAGCCCCATCTTTCCATTAGGTCATACCACCCAACGGAGGCCCTAGCTGGGAGACGCCTCCCCACCAACAACCAACAGGACCCTGGGAGGAAACCTCGGCCTGCCTTCGGTCCCGGCAGAGCCAGGCGGGGGCAGACCGCTAACACACAGACATGGAGCCGGTTCTGGGTATCGTGGGCAGCGGCTTTATTACATTGGCTTAGGCCGTTCGCATAAACCCTGGGGAGGTAGGTAGTCAGCTCTCCATTTCATGAATGGGAAAATGGAGACTCGGGGAGGAAGCGCTTTTATCTGACCCCGGAGGCTTGGCACAGAGATACAGGGAAGGAAGGAAGGCTGAGCTCTTCATCGTGCCCTGGCTCAGGCCAGGATTGGAAAAGGGGGGAGCCCTGCCCTTACTGGAGGCCACACATCTACCCATGGCCGGATTCCAGAGTCAGGTCTCTGGGGCAGCCGAGGCCTCCCCAGACAAAGATGTTCATCGAGTGCAGAGCAAGGCTGGTCAGGAGCTGAGGACTGTGGGGCTGCCCGCAGGATCCAAGTGGGGTGGCTGTGGGGCCTCCTCTTCTCCCCCTAGCTTCCTGGGGGCCATGCTGCTGGTCTGGGCTTCAGGGGCCTCTGTTTCACCTCGATAGGACAGGCCAAACCTGGGCGCAGAACCAAGAGGCACGCTGAATTGGATGCCAGAGGGGCCAATGACACGGGCTGAGGGCAGGGGGCGGTGAGGAAAGGGATACAACGGGAAGAAAGGGGAGCCTGAGGTACCGAGGGGGCAAAGGGACCAGGGCCAGCGTGGGACGGGCACGCTTAGAGCTCAGCGCAGCGAAACGAATGTCAGTGGAGCAGGAAAGGGGGAAAGAATAAAGGTGGGGGCCCTCCCTCACCCCCTCAACCTTTCCCGTTCCTCTTCTCCCAACATACAAACTCTGTATTCGGGACTCAATGGGTGGAGAGTGGGCTTCCTTATCACTGGAGAGTAGGAGCCATGAGCTGTCTTCATCGTCACTGAGGCAGAGAGAAGAGATGTCAGGGTCATTAATCAAGGCCCTAGGGGACACCAGGAGTCCGGCTATGTTCAGCCCTCTGCACCGCGCCCAGGAGTGGCCAAGGGAGGACAGAGTGACTCTGGGCCCCTGGGGGCTAGAGAGAAGGAGGTGCTGGGGAGATGAAGGACATCTTGAGGCTTTTATTTTATAGCCTGACAGCATGCCCTGACATGGCTGTAACGACAGCCTGAACCTTCTGAGAACAAACAGATCCAGCCAAGACAGGAAACTAAAAAATTAATGCGGAGAAGCAGCGCTACCAGGTTTCTTTATCAGGAGGTACAGTGAGCATGGCAAGCGGAAGCAGGGCAATCTGGAGAGAAGGGCAGCAGGCTAGGGTGTGACCAGGCCGGAGTGGCAGGCCCAGGGGGTGCCCAGTCCGGAGTGATAGGTTCAGCGGGACAGACCAGACAGCAGGCCCAGGGGTGACCGGGCCAGGTTAGCAGGTTTAAGAAGTAACTAGGTGACAGGCTCAGGGAGTAAGAAGGCTCAGGTGGCAGGCTCAAGGGGTGACAAGACTGGGTTAGAGCATGACCAGGCTGGTACATGAGGCTCAGCAGAAAGAGCAAGGGGAGTTGGCTTAGTGGGAATGAAGGCAGGGACTTACCTGCTCTCTGCTTCCTCTGGAATCCCTAACATCTTGGCCTTGATCTTCTTCCGCTGCTTCTTGACAGCCACCTTCATGGCTTCAACCAGAAGCCCGGGCACCCGGTGGTCTGTGAGCAGCTCCCTACAGAGGAGGCAGCAGGCTCCAGTAAGCAGTGGGAATGCCCATGGTAGGTCTCACTCCAAGTACCTATGCATCTTGTTCCCCCATTTTTAAATACTCTGCCTTGCTCACACCCCTCAGACCTTAGCCTCGTTGTCGCCCTTTCCTAGGAATACTTCACTGAGCACTACTGTGACTTTCCTAGGAATACTTCTCTGAGCACTGCTGTGACTTTCTGTACCACCTCCTCCCTCATGTGGAAGAAGTTTCCCGGAGGGCAGGCGCTGTGTGACTGGCATCCTCCCAGTGCCCGGCACAGTGCCTGGCACATGTCACTGTGGCTGTATCCGTGAACCAAAACATGAAGCTGGTGACTTGAGGCCCAGGAACAGGTGTGAGTGGAGTCCCCCACCGCCATCGTCCCAGCCCCCGCCCACCGCCCTCACCTCTGGAAGTAGGCCAGCTCCTCCTTCAGCAGGAACACATTGGCTTTGAGTTCATTCCTCTCCTGAAGGATCTGCTCAAGTTCCTCTCGACTGAAGCTGCACTGTCCTACCTTGGAGGGGCGCCCTGGCTGAAGGACAGGCTTGGTCGGTGGGCGCGCCTCTGCCGGTGTCCCCTGTCCCCAGGCCATCACAGGAGTGCTAGGGCAAGTGACTGCCAGGGAGACCTGGGAGACAAGGGTGCTGCAACAGATGATAGACCAGAGCTCTGGCCGAGAGTGAGAGCAGAGGCCGGCTGGGGGGCGCACACTTGTTGGCCACCTTCCAACTTCCCGGTGGACTTGCTAACGCAGCACAGCAAACCTTTCCCGAGTGCCCACCAAGTTCCAGCCCTGCGAATACTGCTCTGGGCACTCACCAGGTCCTCAGGGCTCCCTGGGGCTCCCGCGTCAGCGGGTGCCCGCTCCGGCTCCTGCCTCTGCTCATACCCGGTCCCCTTGGCCCGGTCCTGCGCCGGCTCTCGAGCCAGTGCCACTGCCCCTTGGCGCTGTAGCTCCCGCTCACTCTCGCGGTCCCTCGCGGCACGCAGCTGGGTTTGCACCGCGGCCAGTTTGTGCCTCAGCTCTGAATTCACCAGCAGGAGGCGCTGCAGCTGCTCCTGAAGCTGGGGGCGGGGCAAAAGAGGAGGTAGGCGGGGTGTCGATGGGGGAGGTGGAGAGCCCCGCTCGTCGCCCCGCCCCTTGCCCCGCCCTCACCGCCTCGGTCTCCTGGCTGCGCTGCAGCAGGTCGCGGTTGTGCGCCCGGAGCTCATCTCGCTGGCGGTCGGTCACCTCCTTGAGCTGCCGCAGAAGAGCGCGCTCCTCTGAGGAGGGGACGAACTTAGCAGCGGCCTGGGGAGGAGGCCCTGGGCCGGCCCGCCCCGCCCCGTGGCGGTGCCCGCACTCACCCTGTGGCCCAGAGCGCAGCTGTCTGCGGAGGTGCTCGTTCTCCTCGCGCAGCCGCCGCAGCTCCAGTTCGGCCTGCTGCGCTGACACCTGCAGCTGGGGAGTCCAGGCTGTGAGCGCTACGCTCCCACCAGCCCTGCGGGTGGCGAGGGGAGGGGGCGGTGACTCACTGAGTCGGGGTCGGGCCCCACCGCAGCCTTTTCCAGGAGCTCCAGCGCCCGAACCACGAGCGGCACTAGCCTGGCCGCCGCCTCCGGCCCGAAGCGGCGCGCCAGCTCCTTCAGCTCCGTGCCCAGGGCCCCCGCTAGATGGTACACGAGCTCCGCAGCCGTCCCTGACCCGGTGGCCACTCGAGGCCCGCAGCCAGGCACCCCGGGTACCGGTCCCCTGGGCTCCATGGCCCCAGAAGGCCAAGGGCTGCGACGCTCTCCCCACCCCCAACCCTAACTGGGGCAGGAAAAAGCCAAACAGTTCCGGCCCAGGAAGCAGTTTAGGGCAGTAGAGGGCGGGGAAGAAGCGACAGAGGAGGAGCGATTAAGGGAAAAGGCGTGGGTAAGGAGGTAGTGCACTGGGTCCCCCGGGGTCCTGTCCTGTTAAGAGTACCCAAGGTCACAGGAAGCAGGACTGCCTGCTTCCAGCCAGGCGTCTCAGAGCTGAGGCTCAGGGCTCTAACTGGTCACTTTTGTCAATCCCTCCCCACAGCGTTCAGTCCAGGCTCCACCCCAGTGTCTGGTGTCATGAGGCTCAACTTGGCTGCCAAGCACTACAGGCAAGAGGTGAGACGCAGGAGGGTTGTCCTTGGCCTCAGAGACAGCCCATCTGTCCAGCCATGTGCCTGTTTCCCCAACCAGAAGTGACACAAAGCTTAAGGGGCTAGGTTGGGCACCACAGTTGGGAAGGGAAAATCCACAAGCTCAGAAAATGGCAGCAATTGTTCCAAAGGATGTCGAATAGGAGCGATTTGGTTTGCAAATCAGAGCACTAGTGAGCAAGAGCAGGGATGGGCGGAAAGAGAATGGGAGACAGAAAATCTTAAGCAGTCTCCAGGCCCAGCACAGAGGGCTTGATCTCATGACTGTGAGAGCATGACCTGAGCCAAAATCAAGTCAGACACTCAACTGACTGAGCCACCCAGGTGCCCGCCCTGGTTTGCAAATATTTTGACGATTATTGACAAATACAGCCAATCAGTAGGGGTGTGAAAGCCCAACCCCACCTCGGTTCATTAAGGGATACTCAGTACCACAGCCCCTGAATAGGAGGCTCACACCCCTTTAAGGCTGAGGCCAGCATGCTGCTGTGAACAAGTCCAGCCTTCCTGCATCCAGAATTTGAGCTCAGGAGGAAAACAAACCCCAAAACTCCTATTTATACAAAATTTATTAATACACTTCGCTCAGGGCTACAAGCCACCAGAAATCAATAACACAAGAAGCACAAATAGAGGAAGAGGGGGCCAAGCTGCTGAATGTCACCAGCTTGTCTTTGCGGGTAAAAGGCTCCAGCCTGTGGAGCGTCTGAAGTGGGGGAGGGGAGGAGAGGATACAACTAGGCATAGAGGTCCTCTCGATCCGCGGAGTAGACCTCGCCCTCTTGCAGGAGAGCAAAGTTGAGGAAGTGGGAAGGTCTGTGCACCTCGTGGTAGAACTCTTTGGGGTTTGCCAGCTGCAACTCGTATTTCATGTTGGGATCATGCCGGACACCTGGGGGTGGGAGGAAAGGTCCAGTGTTAACAAAGTGCACCCGCGTCACCCAGCCTGGGCCTCCGGGCCATCTTCAAACCGGAGTCAAGCCCCAAGTGCCAACAGTGATGGCCTAACCGTAGTCCCTCTTCCTCAGGCTGAACTTACCCATAAAGTTGTAGTTCCATGAGGACTGGGCAGGGACCATAAAAAACCCAAGGAAGCGGTCTGACAGCAGCATCTGGACCCTTTCATAATGCGAGGGTAGATAGCCCTTGGGATTGTTGCCCTTGTCCGTGTTCTGGCGACCCCATTCATAGCCACTGGGGGTCAGCTTATAGGCTGTCAGCGTGCAGGAGCCTGGTGTGAAGCTGACAGAGGGATGAAGACAGTCAGAGCTCGGGCCGCCCTTCTAGGCCCTGTGTGGCAAGGTCTGCCACACCGCATTTCCTCCCCAAGGGGCCCAAGACTACCTGCAGGTGATGATAATGGTCTTCTCGCCATCCCAAGATGGGTTGTCAGCCATGATCTTAGCGTGGGTGGTGACATCCTGGGGTGACAGCTGGGGGGACTCATTGGGCTGAGTGTGGATCCATCCTAAGGGTTCCATTTCCTATAGGTGAAGAGAGGTGAGAAGCTATCTGGAGTCCCATCTACAGACAGGACTCACCCCCCATGAGAACAACACGCTGCCTTCCTCCCACCAGGCTGACACAAGAAAGCTCCCATCACCCCCACCCCCACTGACCTTGAGATACTCATGCTGGGGCAGCTGGCCAGGCAGATGCACGGTTTGGTGAGTGCCCCACTGCGGCACCATCACGATGCAGCGGATCTCCTTCACCTGCGGGTTATCTGGCGGGCTCACCCCGTACAGGTACCCTGCAATCTGGGAACAAAAGGGTGAAGAACCAGAACGATTCTTAGCACCACTCCAGACTCTGGGCTGTCAGCCCTGTGTTTCGTTCCCTTCCCCAAGAACAAAGGACAGTTTCTCAAAATGTGATCAGAATCTCTTGCATTAGAGTCACCTGGGGTGCTTGTTCAAAACGTTAAACATGACCCTTAACCTTGGACTTCTCACATCAGAATCTCGAGTGGGGTGGGGCGCCTGGGTGGCTCAGTCGGTTAAGTGCCGACTTCAGCTCAGGTCATGATCTTACGGTTTGTGGGTTCGAGCCCCGCATCGAGTTCTGTGCCGATAGCTCAGAGCCTGGAGCCTGTTTCCGATTCTTTGTCTCCTGCTCTCTCTGACCCTCCCCTGCTTACACTGTCTCTCTCTCAGAAATAAAACATTAAAACATTAAAAAAAAAAAGAATCTCGAGTGGGGTCCAGGAACCTGCATTGCTCACATGGTCCCCGGCTGATTAAGGAGTATCCATAAATAAATGAGCACACCAACACACAGTTCATGAAGCTTCACAAGAAGAACACATCTTTAAATCCACCACTAGGTGGAATTTTAAATTTTACACGGCCATCGACAAAGAGGACCTGTGTCCTATAAACCCACCGATACAAGATACTAACAGTCTTCTCAAATTTACCAACCTGAGGCCACAAATTGGGTGTTGTATACAATGAATTACCTGATTACTAGTAAGGCCAAACACCTCTTCAAAGTATTTATTTTTGAGAGAGAAAGAGAATGTGATCAGGAGCAGGAAAGAGGCAGAAGAGAAAGGGAGAGAAAGAATCCCAAGCAGGCTCTGCACTGTCAGTGCAAAGCCTGACGCTGGGCTCAAACTCATACATAAGCCGTGAGATTATGACCTGAGCTGAAATAAAGACTGAGCCACCCACGCGGCCCCCCCAAGCATCTTTTCATATTACATTTGCCATTTATAGTTGTTTCTGAATTACCTTCATATTCTTTGCCTATTCTTCTAGTTATTTTATTAATTTTAATTGTAGATAGACTGTGCATGCATGGGAGAGGAGCGGAGTGAGAGAGAGAATCTGCACTGAGTGTGGAGCCACAGGCAGAACTCAATTTCACAACCCTGCGATCTCAACCTGAGCTGTAATCAAGAGCTGGATGCTCAACTGAGCCACCCAGGTGCCCCATGGTTTTATATCTTAAGAAGGCTATCTCGGGGCTCCTGGGTGGCTCAGTTGGTTAAGCATCCGACTTTTGGTTTCAGCTCAGGTCATGATCTTATGATTTCATGAGTTCAAGCTTCAAGTTGGGCTCTGGAATGTCAGCTTGAGATCCTTTCTCTCTCTCCCCCTCCCCCACTCACGCTGTCTCTCAAAATAAATAAACTAAAAAAAATCTCAACACTAAGATATTAGACATTTTCTTCTAATACTCTACAACCTAGTATTTTACATTGAGACTTTATTCCACCTGCGTTTTTTTAAAAATTTATTTTTAATGTTTTTATTTCTGAGAGAGAGAGAGAGAGAGAGAGAGAGCACGCGCGCGCGTGTGTGAGCAGGGGAAGGTCAGAGAAAAAGGGAGATACAGAACCCGAAACAGGCTCCAGGCTCTGAGCTGGCTGTAGGCACAAAGTCAGACGCAGGGCTCGAACCCACGAACTGTGAGATCATGACCTGAGCTGAAGTCAGACACTTAACCCACTGAGCCACCCAGGCGCCCCTTCGCCTGCATTTTTTAAGTTGTGAGGCAGGGTTCTGACTGTTTCAGTACCCTAAGGCATCCTTAATCCTACAGATCTGATACACATTTACTAAATACATAAAGATCCCTTTCTGACTGTATACTATCGTCTTCCAAAAATGTCTGGAACTCTTAACTGCCACAGCTTTATAACGTTAAAGCATTATGTATTTGATGGGAGGCAAAACCCTCCTTGCTGTTTTGGCCATTCTTACATACCCTGAATTCAGATGAATTTTAGGCACATAAAATGCCAGGCACACTATGGCTTAGCTGTGCACACTCACTCACTTGGGCCCGCAGGTCAGATATGCAGATGAACTTCTTAAGTACATTCTTGGGAAGGATATAGGTATAACCAGTCTCCTTGATGTCATCAGATGAAACATAGATATGATTGGTCCTTAGGTGAAGGTTGGCAGCAGAGATGGCCCTAAAAACAGTGGGGAATGTCAGCATTTCTCCAGCCTAGCACCTCAGGCAACGTCAGTAGGCTTTGCCATCCCTACCCCATGGCCCCTTACAGTACCTAACCCGCCATTCAGTCTTCGATGAGAAAGTCTGGGTCTCATAGTTGCTGGTGGTTGAAGTAATGATCTCATCACCATGCTTGTTGACAGTACGAGTCTGTGTTGCCGTCAGCTGTGACTGTTCCTTGGTCTGCTTCTCAATCTCTGCTATCTGCTGCCGCTGCTGTGATGGTGCCGAGATCTCCATACCCAGGATGATGTCTCGGATTTCTGATTGTGTCAGTGATGCCACATTCACACTGCGGGGACAGCATGGGTCACACCACAAGATCTCTTCCCCTTCATCAATCATGCCTCAATGGCAAGAGTATAACTTGGTAGGACAGGGGACTCCATACCCCTACCCCAGACAATCCTCAAGTGGCAATTATAAAGGGAGCGTGAAGTGGGGGTGTCCCAATACCAAGAAGATTTATCACAGCCCAGGACGGCGCTGTGCACCTATACCCTTTCAGCAGCGCTCACACTGCTCAGTACTAAGATCTCCCTCTTCTCCTTGACAAGAAGTGCCCTGGTTTATAGGACAAGTCTCAAACACAGAAACCCTTAGAACATGTTCTCAGTCATCGCTGGTAGTGTCAGTCAATCACCTTAGTCATCCTAGGGGGTATGTGGAAACCTATGGACATTTTCTTGGGTTGCCCAAATGACAGGGAGAGGGGCGTGCGTGTTATTAACAGCAGTACCTGGGGATCTGGGATGCTAAAACTTCCTGTAACATATGGATGGTAAAGAAATGCCCTGCTCAAAATGGCAACATGAAACAATGCCCAAGAAGCAGACCGAAACCCTGAAACATTGACATTTTCTATATTTCCTGAAGACACTGCGTATCTCTTTTCTGTAGGTATCTCCGGGACAAGTCCTTGAGAAATTCCTGAGCCTAAATGTTTCAAAAGACCCAGAAACCACATACTGAACCATTTATTTCACCCTTTTAGGATGTCCCACGCATCTCCCAACTGCCAGTGCTCACTTGTTTTTTTTGCCGTAGTCGGCCAAGATCAGATCTTTGAGTTGCACTTCCACCTTGATCCATTCCTCATCAGTCAGAGTGGGCCAAATATGGTGTGGCTCTGTAATAGTCGTCTTGTCTGGCTTCAGGATCACCTTTGCCCGGTCGTTGTTCACATGCAGGGCACGCAGAATCAGGATGAGGCGGGAGAAAGCCTGAGAAAAGATATGGCAATAAAGGGGTAGGTGGGGTCAGCCACTTCATGTCCCCCCAACTTCCCGCATTTCTACCCTTTCAGGGAACCTAGAAATTGATTTCAAACTCTTAAGGTACAGCTTCTGTTGCTCTCCCAGTCAACTTTATATGCAGAACACAGAACTGCAGAACATCTCATCTGCAGGTTGAAGGTGTGCAACGGCCCCATAGGGGACCTGGGGAAAACCTAAGGCAGGAACAGGATTGTCTTACAGCCCCAAACCCACTCCTCTTAGAGTAACCTTCTCTGTTAGGTAGTTTCATACCGTGTAAGATGAGATAGTCTTGAGCCAGTCATCATAGAGATTAAAAAGAACCATCTGGGGTTCAGTGGCTTTAAGGATAAGGTCCCCAAACTTTTCCACCTTGAGACAAGCCTGGAAAGGGAGCTGGAGCTCCGATCCTTTGATCACAATATTGGGGAAGTCCAGCAAGTGCACCTGAGACAAGATCAAGTCCAAGATTAGAAACAGCCTATACATCTCGGCCCTCCTTTCTTCGACCTCACCCACCTCTCACCTCCAGTGGGTCCAGCATGCCCTTCCTGGTGACAATGATCTGCTTGGGCTGTTCCTCCACAGGCAGAGATCGGATCAGGGCAGCCACCTCCTCAGCCGTCTTCCACTTAGCCAGCTAAACAGGGAGAGAGGAAGAAATGGAAACTGAGTCCCTACCACTGCAGGTCAACTAGAACAAAAAAAATAAGCAACCTCTGTTTCTGCTGCGCACTGCTATTGAAAGTCAGGTACTTTGGAGGTCCAAAAAAAAGTGTCAAATGGCCTTGCCCAAAAGACCTAGCTGGTCAGACAAAACTCACGCAAGTTACACCACAAGCTGGTATTTGATTATGTAATAATCAAATTAGGGCTTAAATTGATAAAAAGCTATACACAGAAACAGGTCTTAGGGAATGAGGAAGACTGATTAACATAGTAAAGAGGAGAGGGCATTCTAGAAAGATATATGAGCAAAGCCACAGAAGTGGAAATGAAGGTCAGAGTTTGGGGATAGCAGGATCCTGGCTGTTGCAAAAGGAAACAGGGTTTAAAGGAAGAGAAACCACAGCTGGACAGGTGGTAGCACAGCCAGATTACCAAGTGTCTAGAGAGCCAGAGAAGAGGTAATTCAGCAAGAAAAAAGGGTTAGATAGAAAAAGGTAGAGACTTGGTAAAAATGATGCTTGAAGAATTCTTGTTCCCTTTACAAAGATGATTTTTGGTAGTCTTGTTCAAGGTAGGTTAGAGACGGGAGATTCAGGAAACAGAAGAGACCAACCGGTAGGTAACGATGGACCTCACACAGTGCTGGGCGCCCTGCAGAACACCCCCCAAGTAATTCAGGGCAAAGGTTCAAATGAGACACACTTAACCTC